TCTCCAAATCAGTAGGGAGGCCAACAGAGGCACTGTCCCCTAGCCAAGGTGCATTCGAGGCCCTGACAAGTCACCATCATCAAAACAGCCACCACGCTTCCTTCAGAAATCCGCAGCTGAGATCACCTGGACGTGGCTGTTATCCGCAGCGCCCGTATCTCCACCTGCAACGTCACGACAACGTTATTGCTTCCTTTACCTCCTGCTTATGCCACTGTTTACAGGGATGCTTCTGCTGGGCTGTGCTGATCAAACCACCAGTCCTGCAATTCAAAACTTATGCTGAGAAAATATTCTGCCGGCCTTTCCCAACCTTTCAAACAATCCCACCTCCTGATTTCATTCCTGGAAACCATACAGCACCCCTTCTCCTCTCATCCATATCAAAGCTTCCAGCTTCATACCCGCACACAATTATTTTCTTCTCAGGTGCTGCATTGCTCTCCAAGTCTTTTCTCCCCAGACAGACACTCGGGGTCTCCCTGGACACAAAAGATGCTAATTTTTCCTTTTCATGACCCTGGCAAGCAAATCTATAGCAGGCAAAAAAGGAGGAATTTGTTTCCCTCTAACTTGCCTGCTGGAGAAACAAATCATCTCTAACAGTATAAAACAAAACACGCACAACAGTATATACAAGGGATGTACGTCACACTGTACTAAAAAAATTTCAGCATCAGTTGCTTCAAGGGCAAAGAAAGCCACGAAGGCATAGCAGGGTGCTGAATTTCTGTCTACCATGTACATCAGCACGGTACAAAATTGTTGTCCGCACTGGAAAATTGCCCGTCACGTGAGTGGGTTTAGCAGACACCGAGCTGCAGGACACGGGCACAAATCCGGCAAGCCTGGAGAGCGAAAACACGCCAGGGAGCGGCACGCGGCACCCGTGCAGACACGGTTCCCTCGGCAACGGGAGAAAACACCTTAAAAATGCTCCGAAGTATTGAGCTGCACGCGCTTCCCCCATCATCCTGGCTCTTGGTCCACGTGCTGCGACATAATCCAGGCTGTCCCCAGACAACGCAGCCCTCAGCTCCTGGTTATCACTGCAGAGAGACCAAAGGGCCGGGAGGCACACGTATGTTCAGCCCGGATGACTAGCACATTCATCACACGTGTTGCCAGCAGCATCCAGCGGTACCAGCTTTAACTGCCCTCACCCCCCCGTTCTGCCTTTTCCCTTGTGCAACAGGTTAAAAAAGCGACCCTGTAAGAGAGGGAGGGGTGGTTCAGGGGTGGGCACATCACATCAAAGAGACCCTGGTTTAGCATCACCCAAAGCCCCACAGTCCCACAGGGCTGACCGCTGCTGGGCAGCGTTGGGAAAGGCACGGGCAGCGTTGGGAAAGGCACGGGCAGCGTTGGGAAAGGCACGGGCAGCGTTGGGAAAGGCACGGGCAGCGTTGGGAAAGGCACGGGCAGCGTTGGGAAAGGCACGGGCAGCGTTGGGAAAGGCACGGGCAGCGTTGGGAAAGGCACGGGCAGCGTTGGGAAAGGCACGGGCAGCACAGGCAGCAGCTCAGGGCGGGTGGACCCGGCCCCCTCGCCACGCCTCCCAGCCACCCCGGACAAGCCACGGTTCCACTGGGCTACAGCACGGCGGCGTGCACCAGCCAGCCTGGACCGGGGACGGAGGCCACGGAGACTCGCAGGTGATGGTAAGTCACTACTGGGAAAACCAGCTGTTGCTTCGGAGGTGGCGGAGAAGGACAGGGCAGGAAGGTTTCGGCAGCAGCTCCGGCCTCTGAGAAGAGGCAGGAGGAAAGGGAGAAAGGAGCAGAGCTCTGCGCTGTGGTTAATAAGTAACGCAGGGAGCTCCACCGGCTGCTGCTGAATTACCAAAGCCAGCGCTCGCTGGGCTCCGTTCCTCTGCGAGGGGGAGGGAAAGGGTCCGTCACAGCAAGGCTGCGTGACCAGCGTGACCCCCTCGCTCAAATATTGCATGGCAAGCGTGACCCCCACGCGTGCTCCGCCTGCATGGCCCATGCAACCCACCCTGGCTGGCTGGAAATCAGCTTTGTCACAGCAGCAGAGAGGACAGGAGCAAAAGACCATGGGGCCCTTGTGGCATACCTTATTCCAGCCCTGCCTGCACATCCTGCTCACACCAGGGCTATCCCCTTTACCTTCTCCTAAGTGACAAGTCACCCTTAAAAGGGAAGATGTTAGCTTGAGCAGAGAGGGTTGTTTCATCTCCAGAAAGTCCAAAACTCGCCCAATTTCCCATGCTGGTTCCTTTGCCTCGGTTGCACAATGCCTATACTTGAGTTTCCAGCTGGCAAAAAAAAAAAGTCCTCATGGCTTGGCAGTTGAGAGCCAGCAAAAGAAAACAAAATAATTAAATTTCTCTAACGAGAAGAGTGTGTTTTTAAAGGAGTAAGTGCATATGAAAGCACTAACATGCCATACTGACAAAAACTGCAGGCTGGCCAATGTGCTGGGATGCAGAAGGAGGGAAGACGAAGGGAGTGGGGTGGAGGGCACGGAGGGTGCTCCAGGCAGAGGGTTCACCATCACAAGACGCAGCCGGAGGAGCTGGCTTTCGTGTGGTCCATTGGCCAAACGTCAGTCTAGCCATGCCTCCCGCTGGCACTGGGCTCTCAGAGAGGAGCTGGGCCTGGAAAAAGCCCCAGGACCCGTCCTCCCATGCAGTCGGGATGCAGAAAAGGGTTCGGAGAACAATGAAGCCGCATCCCTTCCAAGCAGCCTGGTTTCTTGCTCTGCCCGGGGGAGGCTGGCTTGGCACCCAGCCCCCTGCATCCACACCCCTCTGCTCCAGGCAAGCGACAACTCTGGCTTTATGCAGCTTTTCCTCTCTTTAGCACTGACACACAAGCAGGAGCTTTCAGACCTGATCCTGAAACCTGGCACAGCCCCCCCCACCCCGTGTGCCCCCCCCTGCCAGCAGCCCCGTGCAGAGCCAGCCTTCGTCCCCACGTTATCCAGTTGCTAAGCTACCCGCACCCAGCTTATCACGCCATCGGCGCGGAAGGGCAACGGCTGAGGGTTTATTGCACTGAGCCGTGTTTACTCACCACCTTCCCTCCAAATCCAGAGCTTGGGAAGGGACGGGTTTGACATTAGCTGGGGGGAGAGTCGGGTGTGGAGCTGGGGTTGCCAGGGGCTATCCAAAATGCCGCACAAATTGAACAGTGGCACACTAGCAGCAAGGCTGGAGCACACACAGGCTTTCCCCAAACATCATGCAAACGGGAGAAAGTGCAGCCACGATGCCAGGGGGACAGGAACTATCCCATGTCCAGCCACCCCTCAGCTAAGGTGGTTCAGCATGCACCTTGACACTCTCCGTTTCACGGAGCTGACAGCTTTCTCTAAGCATAAGGGTCATGGTTACGCAGGCAGGTAGGCACCCGCATGGCCCGACGGCTTCGCAGACCCAGTAACATGGTGATAGGGCATAATCTTTCCAATCTTCCTCAAAACATGCAAAGCCAAAGAACCACCCACAAAAACATCAGCTCCATGGCCACCTCTTCGGTTTTGTACAGCCTGGGAGTAGGTGAACTATAGGAAAGGAAGATTCGCCTTCTTTAGGCAGCAGCCCCTTGAGATGCTTCACTTGGGCATCAATGCTCAAAAGTAGCATCTTTAACAGCTGAGCAAACACCCACAAGAAACTGGGCTGTATTTGTTGGAAGTCCTATCTGACTTGCCACGCTTTGCTCTACAGCATATAAAGGAAAAAAAACTGCAAAGAGATGCTGGTCTTTGTCACTGAGAAAAAACAATCCTCGCTGACTCAAAAGATCAGATCACCCACTAGGAAAGAATCTTAATTGCCAGAATGTAACCTTTCAGATAGAGCAATACCCCTTCTGCACTCACTTCTGCCTTCCTCGTCGAGCCAGAAGATACACTGGCTTCAGGCAGCCCCCATCCCCAAGAATTCCATTTTAGTTTCGTCTTTGCCCATATATTCACTCCCCAAAGCTCCCCAAGAAGAACTGCTGCTTCTCCACCCCCCTTAAAAAATAAATAACAGCAGCTCTGCCCAAGAGGTCAAGACAGACAATGCTAAACCACAATCCCTCCCTCTGCCCTTTGTTACTCAGACAGAAACAGCCTCTTAAACTCCATCACAACGTAAGGCAGATTGAAAAGGAAAAGGAGCTGAACTCCAATTTAGTGTGACTCATCTCTCTGATTCACACCACTTCTTTCTCCTCTAAAGCAGGCTTCCAGTGCAGATGACCTGCAAACAAAGCTCTCCTG